AACTTTTGTATAATTTCTTTAAAATATGTGTGGTAGACTTAACGAAATTGAAATGTGAACAGATCTAATAAGAAAGTAAAAAAAAATTGTTTGGTTTATTTTTGTCCTCCAACCCCAATCTCGTAGTCGGCTTCGATTTCACAGTTGATCACTCTTCACTCTGGTGGCCCCCGGCAATGGCGGGAACACTGTAAGACCAATCGTTCTGAAATAACGTCAGCGGTCACTTGGCGAAATGGAGCCTGAAAATCGACCCCTGATGGCGCGCTATACGAGAACCCTTAGGTAGGCAAAATAATACCCAAAATTCCAGTTTGCCATTACGTTTTGTTCCTTACCGGTAACTCTTAATACCCCTTCGAGCCTTTGTAAAATAGTTACCAGCCTGACCCGAAAGAGAAATGTGCAAAAACCTTACCCCTGTCTTCAGAATATCTAAACTACATGACAACCAGCCCGGTATACACGTGCGTAGGTGAAAAGTTGCCAAATTACTCTATGGTAGCGGTAGCCTTTAAGTAGAAACTGAATAAAAAACACTCAGAAGTTTGAAAATTTTAGGGAAATAAACCTGAAAGAAACCTCTGCATTCACGAAAAATAAGTCTACTCCAACCTTTGTTGAAAAGAACTGCGTCAGGCCAACCCGATCTAGAATCCATCGACTGTAGGCACGTAAACTTTCACGACTGTGTACATTCTCGTTCTCAGGTAATTTTCCAAAACATTACTGAAAGAATACGAGAATGAAATTCCGACATGATTGTTCCTCAGGGTGGTTTCAGTTAAAAATGATTTTGCCAAAAATTGAATAACGTTGCACGGGTCAGCCCGATGTAAAATCTGCATGGACGGGCCGCAGGAGGGCTCCAGATTAAAAGCTCGCCTGGTGCTTTTTACTTTCGGGCTCCAAAGAGACTTTGCGTGGTAGCCATCTTGCAGGGCAGTTGTTTTGTTACACAATTTGTGCATGCATTATCCCGTGGAATAAAAGCACTGGCCCACAAGCTGGCAGCTATGTAAACCCTCTATAGCTTGGGCAAAGAGTCATGCTTTATTGCACCACAAAGGACAAGGCCTTGCGTGTCCCGATTGCTCCCATGCACGATGTGGAACTCTGCCACAGTCTAAGCACAGGTATTTACCTTTACACAGAGGACAGGAATGATCAAAGGACTGACCACTGAGGACGGAAATTTATCTTCTCTAAGGACCACAGGTTCTGGTGGCCTATAATAAATACATTATAGTCTAGACTTGTAACGTGGAGGGGTCTATAGTGCTGCGAATAGTGAGTGGGAATTGACATTAAAAGGCTCATGCGCTTGCGGCCTTCACAAAAATTGTTAAGTGAAATGGGTTTTGTGTGCCGACGCACATCAAGAAGAATGTGGCATACTATAAAAACTTTTCATGTCGTGTGGCACTCTGTGGTGTTAACCGTGTTGTAGCTGAACAAAATGGAGACACTTTGAACCACACGTCACTACTGTTTAAATAACAAAGGCTGTCCTCCACGATGGCGACAGGTGCCCACCACGATGGTCGCAGGTGCGAGGGGTCCGTTGGGTATGCAAGACAAAACAGCTGATGGAAAACATTGGACTCGAAGCGTACAGCTGCTATGGTTGTAATGGGGCTGGTGCGAAATGTCCATAAAGCAAACTACGGGACAGCGAGAACCCCCACCCCCGCCTTTGTGTTGGTCATTGTTATACTGGTATCTCAGGAATTCTTTTCAGACATCCAGGGGAGATGCGTTAAGTGACAATAGGCTGTAGTGTGTTAAAGATTGAACTATGGGAGGGTACCCTTCTGTCCCATTTCGTGCCTGGTATAGAATTATCAACAGGCGCCGGCCATTTCGGTTTGAACAACAATCCACACCTCAGTTCGCCGCGCCAAATCGCTTGGGTGTACTGAACAGTGAACAGGCCTACCAAGAGAAACAAATCTCCAGGCTCGTTTTCATTGCGAACACCGTAAAAGCAATTTAGGTACTTGAAAGTGTAAAGGTTAGTTTTCTATTACACTCGTAATTTGCACGCGACAGCTCACTTGTAAAAAAAATAAGCGCACTAATTTATGTCAGAGGTAGGAAGAAATATAGCATTGGCGGCAACATACGTTACCCTCCATTCCCTCTAGGCCTTGCGCCTTCTTTAGCAAGCAGCAACATGCGCACGCTCTCATCAGCCCAAAATCGGCACTCGAGTAAAAGCCCCTCACAAGGTTTGAATGTACAAGATTTTAAATCCACTTTTTGCGGGTTGACGACTTTTTGATACGACTCGACGCGACACGGTCAAGGCTATAATAAAATTTTTAATGAACTCGTGTTCAGTTTCGATGAGGAATGTCTCTCTCAACCATAATTATACATCCACCTATGATGCAAGTAACGTGTTCCAGTCAAGCTACCCCCAAGAATAAAACTGCCCGGAATGAAAACCCCGAGCTGTCCTGAACGATTCTGTGAGTGAACAAAAAATGAATCTAACAAGCGGGTCATCATCGCACATTTTGCTCCGTGTCAATAATCCTTGGCCCTACGAGGTGTAAAATTTGCGACCTAAAAGATCTTGGATCATGATTGACCAAGGATCTCAATCTAGATTTGCTCGGCCCTCTTCTGAGTCAAAGACAAAACTCTTTTCGGATCCAAAATGACCTTTTTTCTATAAGTCATTTGGGAACTAGTTGGATAGTACCAGTTTTGAATCGAAAAACGAGCTGGGCAAATTCGAATTCGGCCAATCTGATCAAGGAGTCTTCTGATGTATATTAA